CCAAAAGCCTATAAAGTGTCGCAAAGCCTGACGACGGCGCTGTGACATGGCGTGCGAACCGCTATTAAATAAGTTAGCTTGTCACCGCTGCCTTGCGGTTAGGCTATTGAGCCAAAGCGCTAAAGGAGACAATCTCGTACAAACAATCCGTGCGGCTGTTGGGGACCCGCTCGTAACCAAAATTCCCAAGTCACCTCAATTAATGTCATGTCCGTTAACTGATAATTTTAGGTAAATGTGAATGAAAGTTCCCTACACCTAAAGACCGTTAAGTGGCACCTCCACTTCTGCCGTCACAATGGCGATGATTCGATCGTGGAAATGGTGCTTGCCGGCCAGGTTGCAGAACACAACCGTCCCACCGCGCCCAATCTGGGGTCCTTGCTGCCAACCACATAGCAACCGGCAATAAGGCAGGAAAACAGAGACGCCTGGACTGCTGCTCACGTATAGTAAACGACCAAGCCAAACAGCCCCAAGCTAATTAGCTGGTATGCAGACTGTGTGTCTCCGAGTTTTGTGTGTGTGCCCCGTTATATCATTTAATGACTAAAAACAGGAGGCTTGCCACGCGTGGGAGATGCCAATCTGTCCACTCCTGTACGAAGTGCTCTGTTGCTTCTGTACACCGGACTCCTCTCCCTGTGGCTTCTCAGTTACATGCGAGACCTATGCCGCATACATGATACACGCAGCTCCTGGTCAAGTGTAGGCTACGATCAGACGACATACAATGGATGTGATGGACCGCAGGCCCACGCTGTGATGGCGAGGACTTAAACCGCTGCGCCTTTTACTGTATGCAAAGTCCCAACCAAGTGCAAGTGTAAAGTAGGGTGTTTGTGGCACGGAGGCCCAGGCTGTCTGAACTGAGATCCGAGTTGTTGTCCCTATCCTCTGACCCACAACCTGCACCAGAGCCCACCTTCGGTCTTCATGACACCGGGCAAGGGCGGGTGAAGGTGCGATAGCTGCATCGCAAGTCTAACTCATGCGCAAGTCACCTTATTTACTTTCAGTCTGCTGAAGCACGTGGTGTACATCGTCGGATTCGACGGTTAAACTGTCGAGGCTGTTTCTGACACAGGCGTCAACGAGTTCCTCTATGCAAACAGTAAACTGTACTCCCTTTCAACGTAATCACCTTATACACAAGGCAACCTCAAAAGCCAATGCCGGCAAGGGAATCGGTGTATTTGCACGGCGAACCGCAGGACACATGTCCAAAACCTTCATATATTAGTGTTCCAACGACACTGTGTACAAAAATGAAGGGGAAGGAGAGGAGGAAGGGGAAGGTAGGGTGGTAGATCACATAGTCCGACTGAGCACTCTCATATCTCTTTTTGGGTTGAATGGCAATCACATAAAGTCGTCAGAATCGTAGCCTCCCTCCTCATTGGAGTGCATCTTCTCGGGAGCAAAGAGGCGATCGTAGGAGCGACGCT